ATTATCACAGGCAAGATCTCCTGTATATAAGGTGTTACTAAAAAGTACACGGCCTGACCAAAAACAATGACTGAAGCATGAAACGTACACCCTACTCTACTTATTCACCACCCAGTTCAACACATTAGGCACCTAGTTTCTCAAGTTTCTTTAACACATTCACCCAATAAAAAAATGCTCATTGAAATATTGATTATGGGGAGTAGGCCAAGCCGAAGATTTTTCAGTATCTCTTGGTATGTATGTGCGTGTGGATGTGTAGAAACAGATATAAACTAACACGATTATTTTAGATTTAATATTTAATAAATATATTGACAATTATTCATTTTAAAATGAAAAAGGAAGAGAAATAACTATTTGCTCACTTTGTAATCTATAAAATTTCAATGTCATGGGAATTGTTAGATTTGATAAGATGGCATTTTGTTGGTCAATCGGAAGGTGAAATTAGTTGGCATTAATTAACAGTGAAATTGGGGAGTACGTTCAATAGTGATAATGCAATTCGATAATAGCAAAAATCAAACAAAAATGACTCTTGTTCAAGTGAATCTGGGCCATTATGAACTTGTAATGGAATGATAAATTTAAATATTGCAAGGAAGAATTGCATATTTCCTCCAAATTAACCAAAGAATTCTAGCATGGATTACATAGGCCTACATAATTATTTTTGAAATGGTGCAGAGAATGTTTTGGCTAATTTTGAACAATTTTAGGTTGTTGAATCCAAAAATAAGATCTATTTTTTCTAATTAGCTCCTGCTCCAGAATACCATATTCTATGTAAAAAAAAAAAAAAAAAATAGACATGATTGGGTTCGGTTGCTGTAAATATGAAACAAAGAAAGTGCTTATTTAAACATAATCTTAGCTTGAAATAAAACACATCTTCTGAAATTTAAGACAATAATTTATTAAAATTCGAATATTGAGAGCAATTGGTAGTCATGGAAAGAACTTTCGCTTATTTGATATTTGCGACTGCTTAGTAATTTGTCGCATTTTAAGTTCCAGCATTAGACAGCCATCATTATTTTGGTTCATCTTCCTTGATACTTTTCTTCCATAATTTTAATATCCTGGTGGAATCTTTCACCTTGCCCATCACTAAGATCACCCAAATTAAGTTATATCACTGACAAATACAAATTTCTATTAAAAATGTTTGATGTAAAGTGATTATATCTAAGTACTTTATATTGTTTCCATTCATAACTTAGAATAATACAATTGCACTGTCATTGTCATCATGAATTACCATTATAGAAAAACCAGGTTTTTGATACATCAGGAATTCAATAACATTCATGTTTTTTTTTCATTATGCATTCAGAATAAATTTGAACATTATGAGAAATTTGGATATAAATAGTCATTTTCGTTAAAACTACTATACGCATGTTCTGTACATCAAAATATGGAGCTAACCAATAAAAATAAACTTGATTTTTTTAACTCAGTCTCTGAAAAGTATCAAAGAAAACATATAAGTTGGCTTGCACCAAAACACCAAGTGTGTGGGCCAGTGTTGTTATGCAGGATCATCATGAACAAGTCAACATCCAGCAAAGAAAGTAACGGACTATTGAGATGATGAACAGACCGTTTTCAGATGATCTTTGTTGTCGTTGTTTTCTTCACTGGACCAATGTCAAACCGTGCACTGGCTCAATGAAGAAAGAAGAGTAATAACATCACAATAAAAATACCAGTTATGGAATCTGATATGCCTAGGAAGGATGCTGAACAAAAAGAAAAAAAAGCAAAGGATGAGAACAATATACAAACATGTAGTAGAATAAACTCAACAGACAGCTGATGAAAGCCTTAGAATTCATTGGCTTAAAATCTTTGATAAGAACAAAAAAGAGGAATTAAGAAAAAGCTTCTGTAAAATATTTGCTTTCAATGCAGTTTGACCGGATAATATCACAAAATATCAGATTTACTAAGTTTGAACTATGAAACAGCAAAAATTTTAAAATCTGCTACATGTCCACCAAAACTGAATCTGCATATTGGCATTACTGAGTTGTTTAGATTTTGAATGAATGCTCTTGTTTGAATCTTGACGTGCTTATTTACATTTGTCGCACCCACAGACACAATTTCCAAGGGTGCCTACATAAATCATTAGCTTGACATTTAGCTATTACCAGAATTTTGACTTGAAATTTTAATAAATGTTCGACCTATTTGATTAATAATGATGAGTGAATCAAGTGTATTGTTACAGAAGCATATTATGTTGAAATATAAATATATGTATGCTTTTTATCGATGTATCTATGTATAATAGCAGAATGAATAAAATAGAACACACAAAAATAAAATGAGCTTAGGTGAGAAAATAATCGTTATTTTCTTTTTTCTTGGTTGTTCTTAAAAAGAGAAAATGTGACAAATCCTTACAACAATTTATACTATATAGTGCAGATTTGTTTAAGGTACAAAATAGTATGATATTCATGAATTCAGAAAAAAAAGCAATTAGTGAAATGGATTCTGATTTTAGTCATTTCTGTCGCAGGGTTTTTCCATGAGCTTAAATAAGTATTAACTGTTGATTAAAAAAAGATACTTATAATCAGAAAATTTAAATCTTTAAGGTCTGGACATTGATCTATTGTTTTTACATCAGACAAAAATTAGTCTTGTAAATGTTAATTAGTGTTAAGTCAGATCATATTTAGCTGAAACTAGCAATGATACCTGTAGTTGTGCTGACCAAGTTTTTTTTTTAAATTTTTTAACCTTTGCTTCTCTACACATTCCTTTCATTATTTCAGATTTGGAGATACCGAAAAACAAAACAAAATAAACAAATAATTCAAGCAGTTTAAACGTTTTGGTAGTAGTTTATTTCCAATACACAATTATATATTAGCCGCGGACGTATATATATATATATATATATATATATATATATATATATATATATATGTGTGTGTGTGTGTGTATATATGGGGTGCGATGGGTAAATTGTCGCCATTTTTTATTTTGCACATGCGCGTTGTTTGTTTTTGATTTTATCGGCTGCAGAGTATATTAGGGTCAGTTGGACACCGTCTGTGAGAAAAAAAGAGTATCATGACGCAATTCCTTCGCCAGAAATTTGGAAACGTCATACTGTACTGTTTGGGACAAAGCAGAGGATTTGTAACGAGTTGGATGAGTCTAATGGTGATTACGAAAGTACGGCAGCTCGGAAAACTGATCATTCTGATAAGAGAAGAACTCCCGAATTTGTTGGTGAGGGTCTCAGACTCAACACGGAGGCCGACATCAAATGTCTTGAGGAGGTAGTGTTGCCCTGAGTCATGAGGGTGACTGCTAAAAGATCCTATGTCTGGCAACACGACTCTGTACCATGGTACACAAGCAGGAGAACCCAGTCATGGCTGACAGACAATTTCTGCGACCATATCACCCTTTACATCTGGGTACCTAACTCCCCAGACTGCAACCCACTTGTTTATTATGTGTGGGGTGCAGTTGAGTGAGAGACCCATGAAATTCCTTGTATTATCAAAGATGAACTGAAGGCAAGGATTATAGCAGCATTCACCCACTTAAACACGGAAACCGTTCAGAAGAGATGCAGGAGATGCCGAAGTTGTCTGGAGGCCGTGGTTGAAGCCAATTTCGAATTTATTGAATAAATTTACTACTTAGTATTTCAAGATATTTTTGTGTAATTTTTGGTAAAAATGACATGTGAGTGTTATTTTAATTTGTGCGTAATTTAGACAGCAGTTTACCCATCGCACCCTGTATATACAGACACACACACCCACAGCTAATATATATATGAAAATATTTATGCTAAATGGTTATTCTTTTTCTATTATGCTATTTCTTCTAAACTTTCTTTTTCATTAACTCTCATATCTTCACTTCTTTATAGGTGACCCCACAGTATACGGTAATTTAAAAATGTCTCCCTCAATTGAAGATGCAGTTATTGAAAGTTTACGAAGCATGAAGTTTAATGGATATGGCCCGTCAGTGGGTGAGTAACAAAGATTTCTATAATATCATTAGAAAAAAAGTAAAACTTTTTTCACTATACATCTGAAAATAGACAATACCTTTTTTGAATTTTCGATATTTTTAATGAATCTTAGTATGTTCACTCGAAGACGGGTTTTGGCTGATAAGCAATGTATGAAACTGGTCTGTAAATATCTGCGTTCTCTCGAAAAATATGCAAGCATCAAATTGTCGTAATAAATTAAAAAGAGAGTATTTCATTATCGTTTGCGTATATATAATTCTTCGTTCATAGTATTTAAAGCCCATTGTTTTGTTAATAATGTTAGTTTGATTTTTCTCTCTCCCTCTCTCTCTCTCTCTCTCTCTCTGTTTCTCTTTCACTCTCTCTCTTCACACACGAGCATATACACATACACGAGATGCTGCCAATAATTCTTGTTGGGCACTGGTTTAAAAAGTATTTTAGCATTACAAACTTGAATATTTTTTCCTTTACACAGTTGCAATTTGTGCGCATGACAAGTAGTAAAAAATGCGTCACATGACAGTCTGGTGTGAGGTACAAAAATTAAGTCGCCCGATTTGTTGGGGGTCAATTTATTAGGATAACTTGCACTCAAGCTTTCCATTTTCTTCCACTTAATATGGATGAAGCCAAATCAAGGACACAATAACGACCATGTTAATTTTCAAGTAAAATCTTAATTCATTTCTCTTTTTCATATCGGCTAATGTGTATCTATTTCATTACTGATCGCATGTCAGTGGTTTAAATATGTATAAAATTTGTTTTTCTTTTTCTCCCAAGCACATGCCTTGTCATTGTGTGTTCCACCTATGAACAATTTGTTGCCATATTGATTGATTGATACGTTTTCTACAGCTTATCAACAATTTGCAGCCAGAAAATATTTTTAGATTGTAAGAATTTTTTATTTGGTGGTGGGAGATAATAACAGTTTAGAGATACAAATCTTTCTAATTTACCCATCCAATATCACAGCACCTAGTATTCCCAAGTATTCACCCATTTAGGTACTGGCCAGACTCGACGTTGTTTAACTTCGGCGATCATATGGGAACCGGTTTTCAACGTAATGTGGCCGTAAGACTGTTACCATATTGAGGATATGGTAATGCTATATTAGAATGTTAAGGTAGAACTTTCTTCTAAACCAACCATTCCAATAGAGTTTTATTCTCAAATTGTTATGGCAAGTAACAATTTTCAATCTTAAACCAAATTATTCAGAATTATTATTTTACAATTGTATAACCAGTGACAACTGCCCAGATGTAGGTATTTGTAATTCAGAATATGTTGTATACCAAGCTACCATATTTCGAAAAGAAAATATTAATGATAAAAAAGTATACTTCGGTATCTCTGCTGGGAGTTGGAAACAAAGGTTCTACAATCACAGGCATTCCTCTGATTGTTCTTTAATACACCAAACTGCTCTCTATAAACTTTTTGGAGACTTGGAGTGTGGAGAAGAAATGTCAGAGGTACAGGCAAAGGTTGGAGCGTCGGTCCGGACTTGGTTCCGAAGGTGGTTGTCCTTGAAGAGTAGTGCTGAGGCGTGTGCCACTTAGGTCTTTCCTCTCATCCTTTACCGGTTGTCTGTACTTCCTCTCTGCAAGGAGCATAAGAAGTTTGATCGAGCGCTTTCTCTCCTTCCTCTTGTCGGATTGTCGCAAGCATTATGTCAACACAGATGTCTGTGCCCCACGTCCGTATTATGGAAGGCTGGGAACGCCACACTTGGCGAGTCATCGAGGTTGGTTTTCCTACGCCGCGTGTTGACAGAGGAATTTGGAGAGAAATGTTAGGGACGTCTTCCCTCGACTTATCACCACTCCTCCCATTTCTAGGGCTGAGTACCATCGGAAACCCCGGAATCAATCGAGTTTCCTCTGAGAGTGTCGAGCGGCCTTGAAGATCATTCCTTATTCCAGTGACCTTTCACGGCTTAGGAGATTCTTGTATCGAGAGTTAGTGAAGGGCTCGCGAAGGATTTTCTCTGTGTGCTGCTCGGCTTGTCGGCGGCCAAGTTGCGCTCTTTTTGGTCTTGGTCACCAGCGGTGGATTACCTCAGCAACCCTGAGTTTTCGTTTACCTGGCGACTGACATAGTCTTCAGATGGAGCTTGGCAGATTTGCCTGACTTGGCTTAGAGGAAACGGCTTCGCATGCTTTCTGCTATTGTCCTCAAGTGCGCCTCTTTTGGGACTATGTCGGCGAGTTGACGGCTCGTATCGCTCCCGAAAAACTTGTGTTCATTGATCTTGCATACGCGTGAGATAATGTGTCGCCCTGTATTCTGGGCTGAAATGAATGGTGTTTCTAACGCTGCTAACCCTGGCAAGAATAGTGATTTGGAAGATGTGGATGGAGGGAATCTTGCGATACGAAGACTATTCTCATCAGGCTCTTATCAGATTTTTTGAGCAGTTTGATGTCGGCAGATTTCAGCAAAAGTTGGGTGATAGTAACGAGCTTGGTTGGTGTTAATGGGGTACTAACGTTGATTTTCTTTTTTTTTTTTTAAAGTTCCCTTGGTCACAACGAGGACACTCCCCTGGTTAAGATAAACTATCTGTGTACCTAGTTAATGTGTGTATGTGTGAGAGTAAAAAAGTTAAAGGACACGAAAGTTAGTGGAGAAGAAAATTAAGTTACGGATTTGGTTTTGGCCTTAGCGGGATGTGAGGCCATAAAAACATCCCTATCATCGTCACAAAGGGTTGGAATATTTGGCCTATGAAGAAATTGTGGAAAGAACTAAATTTCTCGAAAGTAGACAGAAACCGGACGAAACAATTATACACTATGTTTTGAAAGAAGCATCAAGATATTGTAAGTTTGAAAGAATGAGTTCGGAACAAATTTCTATCAAAGACAAGCGAATTGTGCTAAGACTGATTGAAGACGGGTAAAGCTCATAATATGAACCCGAAAGCATGTGTAGAGTATGGAGACTTATAGTGCTACTAAAAGCTTATTTGTATGCAGATATTGCAATAAGGAACATGAAAAAAGCAAAAATAATTGTCCGGCTTTTGAGAAATGGTGTTTTAAGTGTAAAAAGAAGAATCACTTCCAGACGGAATGCACATATGAAAAGTGAGTGGAAAATATAGATCTTCCGATTGAAAATATGGAAGTATTTGAGATAAAACCACAGGATAAAATTAGGAAAATGATGAAGTTAAACGGACTAACTTTAGTCATACAGGTGAATACTGGAAGTGATACTACGTGTGCGCAGTAAAGAAGAGCTCAGAAGTAAAACGGAACAAGTTTTGAGAAAATTAAAAAGCGCGGCTATGACAATCGCGATAAGTGCAAGTTTAATTGTAAAAACATTCATATCTAGGATATCGAATATCCAAAGACAGTATGATAAACTCATTAATAAGCTATCAGAGATAGCTGCACCCAGAAATAAAAGTTCTTTTTTAGGATTAACCAATTCCAATATCTACTGCAATATAGTGACCTTGTGGAACCATTTAATGAAATAAGGAAGAAGAGTACCGAGTTTCAGTGGACAAAAAAAGACACGATGTTTTTCCCGAAAAATAAAAAAAGGCGCTCATAAACAAACCAGTTGTTAAAATTTTCGACCTAGCGAAAGAATTGACATTAACTACTGATGCCAGTGACTATGCGATAGCCGTAATATTGTCACAGGAGGATCACCCTGTAATGTACTTATCCAGAAAACTTGCATCAGCGGAGGCGAATTATTAAAATATTTAGAGGGAGTCATTGGCAATTGTGTGGAGTACAGAAAGAGCTAGAAATTTTTTTTGCTGGGAAGGAAATTTCTATTAAAATCTGATCAGAAGCCTTTGGAATTTATATTCAAGCACAGAAGAGAGTTGCCAAAGGTCACATCTACCAGGATATTAAGATGGGCAATTAAGCTTATGGCGTTCGACTTGGACATTGTATATATTAAAGGAAATACTATTCCGCATGTGGATATATTATCTTGGTGAAATTTTGAGAGTAAAAATGTTGAAGTAAGTGAAAATTGTGAGGATAGAATTTTGCACTGGACAGAAATGGGCATATTACCCTTAAATTGGCTTATGTTGGGAAATAGGCAGGATCTAGTGTTGAATAGAATAGGATAAAGAGAAATACAAGGAGCAATTGCTCTATGGCTGAGAGACCGTATAAAGAGTCAAGTAATGGATATATCATAATACCTCTACAGTATCTGAGAAAAGAAGTAATTAAAGCCGTGCATGATGATATGCAAGGAGGTATATCAGCTACACAAATGAGTTGCAAGTATGGTGGCCAGGCTCTTCGAGAGACGTGAAAAAGTATGTCAAAAGTTGCCCAAAGTGTGCAGAAATAAAGAAATTTAGACAAACTAAAATTCACTCTTGGCCAAAGGAGATAGGGAAGTGTACACGAGTACACATGGATCATACCTTCATTATAGGTATAGGACTATTTCTGATATTAGTCAACTCGTATTCAGGTTGGCCTGAAGTTATTAAAGTCACAGACAGAAAAGACACTGCTGTGAAGCGAGAGTTTAGGATAGTGTTTTCGAGAAATGGAGTTCCAAAAACCTTGGACTTCGACAATGCACCCGAGTTTTGTGAGGAAAGTTTATGTACATGGTTAAAACGTATTGACTGCATTTCATACAAAACACCACCTTATCACCCATAGTCAAATGGAATTGAGGAGAGAATGGTTTAAATGGTAAAGATAGGTTTAAAAGCAAGTAGATTCTCTCAAGTAGATTGTGATATAAAGTGTTATTTACACAGTCTACTCCCAAGTTATAAAGCTATTCTGCATGCAGGTAGAAGACAAAGGCCATCCGTAGTGATGAGAAGACAAATAAGAGCTCCGATTGCCATGCCATTTGCAACGAATGAAAGTGTGTCGTACAGAAAGTACAATGATTCAAGTCCTGAATAGGCGAATTATGTGGTGCAAAAGTGATTTAATACAGTTGTGTTAACAAAGAAGGGACAGGGTATACTGCTCACAAACACTAATTTAGAACCAGAAGAGAGCATGATGTTATGAAAAAGGAGGAAGAAGAGGCAGCAGAAGAACAGACGACGCAAGAAAGGATGAATGAATCTAATATTGAGAGTTATCAGGAAGAACACCAAAGATATGAACGGGAAGAACAGAAGAGGGAGGAATTAATGAGTGTATCCAGTCGTAGTAATGAATAATCTGTGGATGCGAGTGACCGATATCATGCTGATTCTAATGAAGAGAATCTGTTAAGACCGAGATCTACCATAAGAAGAAATAAAGAGACTCACTCTGAGAGACGGATTATGTCTGCCAGAGTTATTCGTAAAAGTCAAAGATCAACTAAAGGTATAAAGCCTCTTAGGATCAAGAAGGTGTAGTGATATGTAAATGAGGTACTGTATAAAAAGCACTATGGCGATACATACGGGAGAATTATCTTCTCTTGACGAGACTACATGTATAAGAGAGAATATCTCTCCTAACATTTACTTTTCTAGTTTTTCAGTTCATCATTCAATTTTTCTCCGCTCTTGGAGATTCTTGTTAATCTTTTTTCGAAAATGCATAAACAATGGCAGGGATTATTTAAAAAAAAAAAATAGTGTTTTGCTGCTGAAAATTGTTGTTTTGCCTCTTATATCTAAAGTAGTTTTCATAAAAATAAATAAGCGACATCACTTTCGGAGCATCCTCTGTATACCTTTTTAAATATGTAGCTTATTAACGGTTTAGTTTTCTGTTGATCTTTTTTACATTTAACACTGACATACACGGAAAGAGAAATAGAAATTATTCCAGTTCTATCTGTAAATAAAGAAAAAAAAATTAACTTCAAGTGATTATCGTAGAGAAAAACCACATGAAACCCGTTATGAAATAATAAGCATTTAATATGGTCGGTTTGTGCTTTCCCCCTTTTTTATGCAGTGTTCATAACATAATTCACACTGCTAAAATGCAAATCCATTATGCAAATTCCGGTATAAATTTTCTAACGATAATTTGTTGTCCAATTTCATTACATAATCATAACAGCCAGTTGATAGTTTTAGTTAATGTTTAAAGCTAAATTTTATTATCAAGG